AATATAAATATGCATTGTCATAATTAATTTTGAATACAAACAAGTTTTGGGGTTGAACCAACAGTGGGGAATCAGTCTACCGAATGTCCTTAAAAGATGTAAATATCTTACAAAAATATTGCCAGGGATATTATTACAAGATAAATCATTTGCTTCATTGAACACATACAACAATGCATATTTCCACTGAGATCAGTAACCTTTGATGTGTATCACCAGTGATCAGTCAAGTAGAAACAGTCAAAATATTTTATCAGATTTTCTCAATTTTTGCATGATATTTTCATACAGGACATCTGTTGTTCAAACTCAGGGAAGACTTTATACTGAAAAAGGTGACCAAGTTTGATAAAGTTTGGAATAGAATTAGTAAAGTTATTATGCACACAATAACAATTATTAACGACGACGACAACAACAACAACGACAACGCCTGACAAAATTTTTCCCTTAATATACCTTTCCCTTCCATCTTTGATGGTATGGGCAAGGTAAAAAGGATAAATTAATTTCAGCAAATCTTGATGGGCGCATGGCCTGATGACAGCATAGCAAATATCAGCTTTTTAAAAATTGCAAAAATACATGCTTATACCTACTGCAAAAAATCTCAGTAAATAGGACTTAAAAAACATCTTTACAATTTTTATGTGGAGTTGCAGATTTATAGTCTGGTAGTCAAACTTGTTCAACTTCAATAATCTGAAAATGTTTGTTCATACTTTATCATTTTAAATTTATTTGCAACATTGTGAAGGATGAAGTGTTTGGATTTTCGTCACTACAATAAGTAACTTTTATAGTGCATGGGGAAAACTTATACATGTAACTGTCAATTATTGTTTGAAAAATTAGCATATTCAGATGAGCAGCATGATATCTGCCAATCAGTATCACAATGGAGAAGTGGTCTTTCCGGTGGAACGAATCAGATTACAAGGCTACAAACATTGAGACGGCAAGTGAACTTGCAGTGCATGAAGAGTACCTATCAGTGTTGTCTATTTCAGCGACACCAAATCTTGAATCCCGTTACAATGTTTACAAAACTTATTACAATGAGAGCAATGATTATAAACATACTACTAATAGTATATGAACTAGGCAACAACAGTGCATTCTGTTGCAACATTGTAAATCTTACTCTATGCCAAAAAGCTAATATAACTAGCAAAAAGATTTTCAATATATACGTCGGGCCTAATGTATTGATCATGGCCAGGAGGCTACTCACTCACCTGAACATGATTGATTTGGGGAGCTATTCTTTGAAATTCTCTTTAAAAGGATCTCAATTAAGTAAGTGATAATGAGTTTTTGGATTTAGCGCCAGTGATAGTCAAGTGGAGTGGTCTCTTAACATAAGTAGGTTGGATTCGTGTATCATATAAATTTCAACTGTAAATGAGATTTAGGAGCTTGACGAATGTTGTTTATACAAATGCTGTATATTTCAATTCTACTACAGTATGAACTTGGAAATGTATTAGCTATATTAACATACATTTGAATAAATCTGAAAGATACATGTAGCAATTGAATCTTGTCACCTCATTTGTATCGGTGTTCTCAATTGTTATTTTTTATCAACACTGTCATCCACGCAAATAGACTTTCTTTGCTCTTTGTCATTGCAATTGTTTGTCACCTTTTGAGCTTCTTTGTCAGTTTTCGACTGGCTCTTACTAGTATCTGCCTCATCATTGGATGGCCTTTCTGTACAAAATGGCTGAACAGTCGTATGGTACACCAAGTGAAATCTACGCGTAAACTCCTCACCACAGTATGGACATATGTGCATTTTTTTTTCACCTGCCGTATGTTTTCGCACATGACGTTCCAGGTTTCGCTTTAATGTAAAATCCTGACCGCAATGCTCACAACTGTACAGTCGAACTCCAGTACTTGTCATCTGTTTACTAGGTCGTTCAACTGTGTGTAATCGAAGGTGGCGAATCAAGTAACCCTTCTGTGCAAACCGCTTACCGCAGAACTGACATGGGTATGGTTTCTCACCTGTATGTGCCCTGAAGTGCGACTCCAAACTCGTCTTCTGTCTGAAACTACACTCGCATAGTACGCACTTGTAAGGTCTCTCAACGTGAATCCTCATATGGCTTTTCAAATGACTCTTTTTATTAAAGGTTTTGCTACAGCCCTTACACTGGAGTAAAGGTTCATCTGTGTCAGCCATTTTCTAAACTTACAGGGATATTTAAATTTCACTCACAGTCCACTGCACCAGGGCGCTGTCAATATGCCACCATCAATCACTGCACATGCCTATCAATTAAAAAAAAATGTATATATTTTCTATTACTATATGTAGCTTCTTTCAAAGATTCTTATAAAAAAATTGCACTTCTTCGTGATGCTGGAATTGAACAAGTATATAAAACATATTAATGGATAGTGTGCATAGGAAATATATCATAATGCCACTCTGGATTATTTAAATTCCATATTTGTTTTTTCTTAAATAATTACTATTTTTCATAATCCCTAATATAAACTATGGTAGTAACTTTGTTGACTTCAGATTCACTAGCCCCCTCCTACAAAACAACAATGTTAGACAATGGTGGCAGAGCAGAGATATATAAATCTATATATTTCTTTTTGTGAATTTTCCTATTGCAAAATTATCTGCCATCCCTGCCCAAAGTTTCTAATGGTTCATTACTTGTGGCTTGTCAACTCAATCACAAAGAAAATTCTATGGTAAATGACAGTTTACTGACAAACAAACACAGTGAGGGCGTAAATAACATTTTATTGATACAACACTGACGCAGAAAGGTACAGCAGTATGGACTTTAAAAAAAAAATAAAACTAAGACATACAGAATACAACACGACTAGGAACTATAAAACTTCAAAAATAAAAAATTAAGGTACAAATCAAGTATTTCAGGAGAAAATGGCATAATGGAAATTTGTACATAGCAAACGCGTCGTCCCACCTTTTTTAATCTTGATGCTTAAATATAATCATGGACCTCATGTAAACCCAGTGAATTTACTCAAAATATTAAAATAGTGAAATTACATACCAGTGAACATTTTATCTAGTCTGCCGGCAATATTAAACCATGGAGGTAGAATCTCTTTTCTACCACCATGATTAAACTGAGGCTTCATACACCCGTGTACGAATGTAGTGTAAACAAGGGATGTATTTACCCTCGTTCTATGAGACCGTATCGAACGATACGCGGTGTAACGACTACGGCTCATTTTATTTTTGACCTTCCTGATCGCGGGTTATCCACGTGATCGATAACTGTATAGTTATTAAGATGGTTATAATCCATCAGCAGCCGTAGCAGACTTACTTAAAACCATATTTAACACAACAAATACGTACTTACAATGTCGATGTGGCGGACTGTAGTTTAAATTAAAACAAGATGACTATATTCTTCTAGGTTAGTCAAAACCAAGCCTGGAACCCAGTCTGGAATAAAAAATCATTTGTCATTTTGCATCAATACGGAAATCAAAATCTTTTGTTGCGACCTTTAACCTTAATAGAGGGCGCTTTTCATACATATAGCCGTAGGTGGCGCACTTGTCACGTGATGGTTTGTTAAAAACGAAGATGCTTTTTTTTAACTCATGTAGTATGAAAAAAACTGGGTAGTTAAATTAGAGCTTGTCTTTTAGTAAAAGCATTGTTTATGTATGATGTTCATAATCATTTATGAATTTGTCTAAATAGTTCTGTGTAGAAATTATTGTACTTTTAGGCTGCTAAACTATTTATAAAATGATTTTCTTTCATATATATTTGCCAGTGTATTATAAAATGTATTTGTTTTACATATTTTGAAATTCTTTCATCAGCTGGTTTTTTGCGACGTGTATGTTTCCCAACTTCAATTTCTATGATATGATAGCTTAGTCTTAGTTTGGCTAATGTTGGAATTTGTTCATCATATTTAAATCGGGTGCACATTCGGGTGCATTATTTAAATGTTGTGTGCTTAGAGATGTCTCTATTATTGGTCTCATTCCAGATCTTCGTCTCGCTTGGTTGATGTCACTTACACGTAGAGATACCAGATTCGACCCAAACGAATACACATTAGTTCATTACAGAAGTAGTCCAGGCAGCTTTATTCACACAAGCAATCAGCTGAGGTAACCCCTCGCTGTACCGTCCTCTCCGGCTTCTCCTCTTACAAAGGTTACACACTCTCTATTTTAAAAGTTGAAGCACTAAGGCGTTGGGGAGTAAACATGCGATCAGCCAATTGCTGCAGTCGTTGGCACGATCACGTGATTACCAGGAATGTGTCTCACGGTTAAAGCCTTGCAAAGGTGCCACTACTAAATACAATAAGTAAACAATCTATTTATTAAATTCCTGTAATATATGTTTATAATCCCCACTCTAAATATGCAAGTCGTTGATTCTAAAAAATAATCTAACGGCGTGTGATGGGAATGTGCGAACGCGAAGTAGCTATCATAACATGAAATAATGAAATAAACAAGAAAGATAAACATATAAACTGTTTTACAAACTTCAACTTTCTTAGGAAGTTTAATTTTAATGAAAAGAAAAAAACTACGATCCATATATCACTGGCAAAATTTATTCCTTCAAAGACAGCAACATTTCCCTTCTAACCTTGCTGTTTATTTCAGTGTTATATCTTGAATTCTGTGTTTTCTTTTATTTGTCCAATTATTGTTTAATTAATATTATTATTGTGACGTTTGTTAGTCAGTGCATGTTTTTCTTTGTTATGTAGTATTTCAATTCCTTTCGAGGAGTTTAAACGTCTATTTAATAAATTGACCAGGAATGATTTAATTACACCATTTGAAGAAATTACTAATACATTCATTATATGAGTCCGTAAACCATACACCTAATTTGTTCTCAGCATTATCTGTAAATAAAAATTCACTTTCCATTGATGAATGTCTGAAATTACCAGCTTATATGGAAACAATAATATATAAAAATTACAAAAAAAAAAAAAATATGAAGTTGTCAAATAAGCAATGTTTTGATGACATCGCAATTTCAACAGTGATTTCAAAATGCGTTCAGCAACCAATCAGAACATCGATGGGAGATTGGTTATCGGGGTAGAGTATCGAAAATATCCAATGAGTTGTACTATAAGAATGGCAATGCAAACAGGGAGCATGTAACTGTTTACACTGTTCGCAGCCTAATATTCTGATTGAGATTTGTTTATGATTTGCAGTTTACGCTATGTTTTTGTCAACTTTTAGCATTGTAATCACAAGTGACACCTACAAACATGACTGAATTAGTGACTATATAAAAATCTGATGACAGGGAGACAGGTTGTTATACAAGCCCAACAACAACATTTAGGAAAAAAAAGACTTTGTGAAAGTTGTGATGCGATCAAATTCCTGGTTACATTGTTTTCCTTCATTCCTTGATATTTAAAAAGGAATTGGTGTTTCAACAAGAATTTTCTCCCAGATTTAGTATAAATTAGGATGTTTTCATATATGAATTATTTCAGAGAAAATATTGGCAATATAAGGGACATACATTGGGAACCAGGAACAAGCGATACGTTCATATGCTAATATCCGGGAAACATACAAGAAAACTTATAAGACATTTATATAAACGAAAGAACTATTCTAACTATTTTCATCTAAAATATATTCATTGTATATAACCATGAATATTAACGAGAAGCACTCGTGGGGTGTACACTGGAAAAAAACCGGTTTACTTGTACAAGATATTTTTTCAATAAAATAAATACACCAATGTATGTGGCATGCCTTATGGAGCTATGATTGTGATTTTCCAAAAAAAAAAAATGTGAAAATTGACAGTGCCCACAAAGCTACCGTGCTACCTTAAGGGGTCAGACATTTGAAATCAAGGGGGTGGCTGGAAGAA